TGACTCCCCAAACTGTTCCTTAACGGCTGCCGCACACTCAATGGATGCTCAAAAACACTCAACTTTTCCAGCTGATCGATGGCATTGTTTATCGACCACGCTCTCAGACGTCTACTCGTTTTCTTTACTCAGTCCCCGTTCTCACGCTTAATTTTGTCTGTTCCGTGCGAGATGCTTGTTTACGTGCGCGATCGGATTCGACAACGGAACCGTTTTGTTCAGATACTTAAATACTCGTGTATAGGCAAGACCCAATCGCACGCATTAGCTTTGTCTACTTTCTGTGTACCATTCCTCCTCGTGAACTGTTTAACTGTATTATTGTGTCGGGATTCATTGTTTATTCTATTCTCTGTCTCCCTCCACACACACACCGTTTTTGTTTTTCGCTTATTCTTCTAAATGCTTTTGGTCACGTCATGGGCATTATTTACGATGGCCGTTTTTTGCACATCCTTAAAATCCATGCGTAATTTCCTTCACTCCCTCTTTCTCATTACGATGCATGCGCGATCGATTTCAGTTGAGCATGGCATCACTTTGGTTGTGTGAATTTCGAACAATTGAGTTTTTGTATATCACAAAAATCAGGGAAAAGAAAGTGAGAAGAAAGCGGTGGGAATAAAAGTTCCAGGCATTGTAAACTGTCATCGGTGTAGTTCTTCTGTTTCTCTCGAAATGCTCTAGCATTCTTCTTGTCTTTAAACACTAAGTCAAGTGGTCTTTGTTTGCGATTCTGGAGGCAGACACCTTCGGAACCGTACCCCTTGCACAGTGCTGCGCATGCAGTTTGGTACGCTCGGTATTGTCTCACCGATTCGTATCTTCAACCGTTCATTTATTCTCGTTGGTGGCTCAAGTTGGAGTGTTTGTATAGCGTACGCGGTGTTATCACGTGCTAACCGGACGGGAATCCCAGCCGATCGGAATACACATTACAATCGGGTCTAAAAATGGTGATCAACTGTCGGTTTAAACCGCAATCTGTTTCAAATCGTTCATTTACTTGATGTCAGTTTTCGTAAATCACTTTCATAATGGTTATCAGATGGTACAGAAAAGTTCTCTCTTCGTTACCCGAGCAGTTGAAGGACTAAGCTGTCACGAAGTCGAGGTTATCGCACAGATCAAATAGCTTCAATGTTACTGTTGCTCATTTTTCTTCTACTTTCACACGATCAAATCAAGAGCACTCACACTCTCGTATCGGAATTAATAGAAGTAGTTCCCTGTACTCGACCGTTCGTTGGACGTGTTTCGTACCTATCACGATTACGCTAACGATCGTACGGTAGCTTTCGGTCGGATGCACCAACCCTTCCAGTGTCTGCATTGTATTGTGTGTGTGTACGCTCATACGAAATGGGATTGAGAATTGATTGTCGGTCTCCAAGTGCTTGCCCCCCCCCCACCTCCCTGAGCAATTTCCACTCCCACTCAATCGATTTCCGACCAAAACTTGATCATTTGAAATATTTCCTAACCTGGTAATTAGTGTGAGAATGATCTAAGGCAGCTACGGTTAGCCGATACGAAGTAAATCGCGTTTGCTTTCCGCATTGTCTGTTAACTGTATAATGGATCATGTCCTTCTACGTCTCATAATTAATATGCTACTGTAGTGTCCTGATGAGAAGTAACGAACAAATACATGTTCCCTATCTTCATAGTTGACTGACAGAACCGTGGCCAAATTATTTGATTTGAAATCTACAACTGCACTTGGTTTATCATTGTCTCTCGTTCTAATTGGCACGTATGTGTTGTTTGCAACGGTTAAGTTTGATTACAACTTCTGTCATGACAGTCTCTAGTGATCTATTTTCGAATTTCCGGATAAATCACCATCGCGAATCAATGCTTTCCTTCTTAATCGTTATAGAATCATTGTACCTCACTAATGGACTTCATTTAAGATGTGATTCTTTCATTTCAAGCTCTCTAAATCTTACCATATGGTAGTGGTTAAAAAAGTGAAATTGTCCTATAAATTTGTTTTCAATGTTTCATATTCGGACACTTACGCAATAGATATATAGAAAGCGGCACCCTACGGTCTTTCGATCAGTCGGCTGGTTGAAAGAGTTCTGCTCACGGTTGTGACGGACAGGTGAGATTAGTCGAGAGAATTGCGTCCGTATCAGAGCAGTGCATTGGTGAACTCATCAACTCATTCCAGTCATAAGTGCCGGAATTGGGCCACTGACTCATCTGGTCAGTGTAAGGATCACCACCATAGGTAAGGTACAACAATAACAATGCTGTCATCGAAGAATTCCAACGGGTGACATGAGATTTCAGTCACTATTTCGTTCCACTTCGGAGAGGTAGGAACGAGGCCAGTGTAAGGGCATCAGTAGACAGATAGTGCACTATCCGTAACTCAGGGTTTACGAGGCAGTCACGAGATAATTACTTTCATTCCCACGATGAAATCGAACAGAACCACTCAACTATCAAGGTCCAACAACTCTGTTCTTTTGGATTTTGTTGTCCCGTTTCAATTGATGAGCTGTTTACCGAAAGGTGAAACACTCATCACCCTTCACTTTGAACAATGTAAAATATCAGTATTCAAATCTGAAAATGAATAGTTATCTGCGGGCTTCATCCATTCAGAATTGTTTCGATGTCATGCCTTGATTCTGATTGTGATAACTACATTGTAATGCCTTTATAGTTGGTGTACTCCACCTCCCTCCCAAAGAAAAGAACACCAGTGAGTCTGTGAGCCAGTCTCGACATTTATGTCTAATTTCACATGTTCGTTACACAATCATGTGCAGAACGCTTTCGATCAGGTGATTGATTGGGTAGTCTTCCGGCGTCCATCAAATAACATGACTCAGTGAAACATGTCAGATCACGTTTGTGTGTCTACGTCTATTTTTCCGGAGGCGAATGAGAGTTCAAATTATTGTAAAAAATGTTATCTGTATTGTCCATCAAACGATTCGACACTTGATTTCTAACGAGTGTCATGTCACACTTTCGGATACGGCCGATTGTGGGGTAGGTACATCCAGGATTCTGGCTGATTTTGAACATACAAAGGTGTGTTGTTCAGCCGAATCACGATTGCTTTGCAGTTGACAGCAAGCGATGGTTCATGTGCTTGGATCGGTTTCCGATGTTCATGTAGATGGGTCTGAACGTTTCAATCATTTCGAACAAAACCGTGATTAATAATCATGCCCATACATCATACATATCACTGATTAAGATTAACCGACTCCGACATAATGTCCCATAACGTCTGCATGTGATCGGTAATTACTGCCCCTCACTGGTTCTCATTAATCCACGACTAGATCAGCTGGGGTGGTGTTCTCGAAATCGTTCGTCCAAGCGTCCGGTGGTATGACCAATGTAGTTTGTGCCACAGGAACACGCAGATTGATTAATGCAGAATGGGGTCATTTCCACTTGTAACTTTTTATTTTAGTCACAACAATAAAACGGGCTGCTAACCGTGCGTAGATCAGCGGCATGACATGTATTTCCGATAGAAGTTTGAAGACACCTGCTTATGATTTCCGATAATGTGTTGCCTAGGGAACCGATGGACAAGTAAACTGATTTCTTCCTTGCGGCTTACTCTGATTGATCTCTTGTGATGAGCTTCATACGTCTTGGAGTGATCCAATCTAGATGTCCATTTTCCGTGAATATCCTCCTAATTTCACTCATTTCTTCATCGCATGAGCCAAAGAAACACATTCGTATTTCCCTATTCAACATGCCGCCTTGCGTCGCGGAGCTACATCACAGTGATAATTTGTATACTGTCTCGTCCACGTCTGCTTTCGGTGAATGCTACATCAACGAGATCTGTCTGAACAGTAAGAGGAAGAGAGAGAGAGAGAGAGAGAGAGAGAACATCGTAAAATGTCAACCCTTCGGGTGACGTTTGCAGAGTGATTTCAGTTCCCACATACCCACTGCAATACTGTACAGACACGTACATAAACGTGATCCAACTTTTTATGTATCATTGGCTCACGCTCTTTGTTCGCCTGTAAGAAAATACCCTTTTTGGGTAGTGAATAAAGCGGCAAAACCGAGTTTGTTTATCATTTTGACTTCTTGACACAACTCGCGGGTATATTCCCGTATCTCAGTTAACGATTCGGCTGACAACTGTCTCGTGATATTCACACTACAAATAACGTTATACAGAACAGAAAAAATATCCACACTTGTCAACCGGACATATTTTCGGCTGTAACTCAGGCTAGAATGGACCCATTCTGAAACACATGATGTTGATTCAGACTACATACAAGTTGTCCTCCGACCATCAACGTGATCATATTCTAATTCACATCCCTATGAACCAACATACTTTGCACATAAGCCACGGACCGCACGAATCCAAAAGTCAAATTTGCGTATTTTTGTAACTCTTTCTTCATCAGCGTCGAACCAGACACGGTGAAAATTTTGTATGTACATGCAATGTAAAGATACCACGATTCCACGTGAACCAGAATAGGAGACTGACTCCAAGGACAGCACCCGGAATATTATGATGCTCGATCTAACTCTGAAGTATCGGACCGATGTACCCCTCCAACTGACTCGAGCAACCACCCGTCAGTCCAATTCAAACCTGTCATCGTTACATCCATAAAATCTCTGATTATCTAACAAATATGAACTGCGCCAAGTCCACGTAGTTCTCTACCTGCAACAGAGCAATTTCCATTACCACCAGTCAGACAGTTTAGGTTCATGGGGTGATACAGGTAATGGGAAGATGGGCGGCAATGGCGTTTAATAACTCTCTTCACATAATCCACATTATAGCCTAGCCTAGCGAACCTTTTGCGTGCGATGTTTTCCTTCTAGTTTTCCGCAAAAACCGAATTTTCCATAGACTTGATTACTTTAGTAAAAACAACTTGATTATCCTGGTTTTTTGGATAGATTCAACTTCAATAATCCTCCGATTCTATTTTTTCTTCCTCCTCTCGTGGTACGGTACGAAAGACTTCCAGCAAGAACATTCGATTTATTGTGATGAACAACTTACTTCCATCCTCAGTTAAAATCCACGAAAAGTATGATCTGAAAGGATCCACCTACAAACGACGGGCAAGTGCAGCGGAATTGGCCAAAACCTCTCCCACATTAAAAGATTTGGATTTCCGGTGAGTTCACGGAGTGCATAAAAACGGTCCTTATTGATACCGGAAATCACTGTGTGTGTTTGTGTGTGCCAATGAACCTGTTGTTAGCGCTCCATGCATGTAGTGCTTTATGTTAGGTTTTTGTTCTTTTCGAAGGTAAGCGGTTATCCTGAAGCCATGTGTCGGGAGAAAAGTCAACAACGACGGAGCGCTTTTATCCGTTCACTTTCCTGATTGAGTATTAATGATATAATGCGATAGGTTTTTGTGAGAATCAGCTGTCATTGAATCAATGTCATCTAGTTATTTTTTCCCCTTTAATACATCCGTCTAAAGGCGACGGTTCCTGCCGTGCAAATTGCGTTTCTATTTCTCCTCAAACTGAAATAAATAGTGATTATGAGTGACTTTTACCCCACTGAATTTGTCCAACAAGACAGTTACAACACGATTTTCATTGAACTTCAATTATTGTCCTATTGAAGCGTCGTTTTTCGATATAACACGGACTTCTGTTTTTAACTATGTGGATACAATAAAGGACTTGACCCGATACTGTATTACATGAGCTGGGGAAGAAAACAATTAGACCGGAACTACCTTGTTGATTCTGTCTAACAATATGGGTTTGATAGGTTGGAGGGTGGAAGTGAGGGTGAACGTTTCACAGTCCTACTGTTCTTCCAAAAAAGACTATTAAATATTAATCAGCGCTATTTGTAATGAGTGACCAACCGCTTGTGTGCGATACCCACGACATAAAACAAGTAGAAGCGGGACGTTAATCTAGTGACTGCGCGGTTAATGGTTGTATGAACTGCCTGCTGAAACCGAGGGACTGAAAATTACGTGTTATTAATGCGATGAAGGACCTTATTTTGAACCGGTTCAAGAGGAGACAGAGAAGTGGACGAAGCTCCCACTGCAGCGTTCAAATTTGGGACGAATCTTAGCTTCGTAAATTGAAATCAAGTAATCGGAAATAGAGAAAAACGTCTGGTTAGTGATTCCCGAGGAATGGTTCCCCACCACCGGAACGTCTAATCCGAATTGACCATAAGCCCTACTCAAATTTCATTGCTTTGAAAACCATGGCCCAACTTTTGATGCACTCTTTATTATGCTCAGTTCGAGGGCGAAAAATCGGTGTTTGATTGAAATGCAGCTGGTCAATGTTTGTAGAGAACAAGTTACACGAACAGCAAAGAAAGATGAAAGGCGTCACATAGTACGGAACGAATGAATATCTGGCCAATGTCTGATGGGTTAGTCTGCCGTATGAAATAGTTATTAAATCGGACAAAGTTCGCTGTTTGGTCCGCTACATCTCTCTCTTTCCTATGGACGCATTTCGATTACGATTTAATCACGCTCGTTTGGCAGTTTTTAGATTTCCAGACTCGCGTTTACTTCCTCCGTCTAGGTCCAGTGCAGTTTGGAGCCACCTGATTACTTATAGTGTCTGGGGTTTGGACAGGTTCAAATAAACAAAATCTGTCGGTGTTTGAATATTATTGTTACGACACCTGACGAAGAATGTCGAAGTCCAGTGCAGTGTCAAGTAGTCATGCTCGCACGTTAACCCATATACCTGTACTTCACAGGTTCGAATAATTGAGGAGTATCCAAATTAAATCCTCTATGAGTAATGTTTACTGAGGAAGATATATTTATAGAACTAAAATAAAATCAAAGGGGCCAGATTCTGATCTTGATAAAAATCATGAAAGCTTCAGTCAACGAACGGTTTGCTGTAGGTTTTCCACCTTTTGGTTGAAATCTTCAGAACCAGTCTGATGTTGATTAGAGAGCCTATTTGAGAAAATTGTTACATATAACTCTCCTCACATTATATAGTTCCCTCCTTAGGTTGTTATTCAATGATCACAGTGCTTGCTAAAGGAGTATAAAATCGTTTCGCTAATTGTGTGTTGCTTGTATTGCCATCAAAAAAGAGCTATGCACGTGAGGAATATGTTGTAATTCATTGAGCCAAACCTCTGATGAATTAAAATATTTGGTTAGTTTGGTGAAGTATTTCGCATTCTTTACATGCTCCAGATCGTGCGGACAAAGGCTTGTAAAACTGGATTCATACATACATGAAGACAATGAGATTAGTGTTGGTGTTTCTTGTGTTAGTGTGACAGCACCGGATGAGTGAGGGATAAACAAAACGTAATTGAATCGCAGTTAGTAGGGATACATCCCTGCATGCAGTAGATGTTTTTCTCATCACCGGTTTGAGTTTTACGAATCCTAGTGAAATAATATGAAAATAGACAATTTGATGGAAATCAGATTGAATTCGTGACCCAAGTGAGTGTTGAGAAGTATTGATGTCGGTAGTGTGTTCAAAACCTGATCGGTTTTAGATACAATGAATGGCAGTGGCAACCAATTCGGTTCAGGGATGAGTGTTGGAGTTTCAAATTGTGGACGAAAGTTCGATAATAACACTGATATTATTACCTTCCCTTGTGTTGTTGCATGGTATACTTTGTACCGCTGCTCAGACACTATTGCTTAGCAACCGTGGTCAAAAAGTACCGCGTAATCCGGTTATGACTAATATAACCAAATACACTAAGAAGAACAACGTTCCGCAAAGCGTGATAACTTGGTATCTGTTCACATTGGCTCTTCATCGCACTGAGCGCTCGCTTCCGATCAGTAGCTGCTTGTGCACTGTGCGTCTCAATGGCTCAATGCAGGTCAAAAATACCGGGATGAAGTGTCGGTGCTTATTCGCAGTGCCCCTGTATGCATCGAGTTCGTTGTGCCTGCCGTGAAGGACGAATTCTACAAGTTCCGACGGGCATCCTAGTAATCGCTGGTGACTTCAACACTGAGGCAGAATTTGTGGACGAATCAGAATCAGCTACCGCTGACGGAGATCCACTCAAAACCGCTTCTCTCATTAATCAACACGCGTGGCTAAGGACCATTCTCTGTTACGATTCAGGTCCTCCCCACACCTGACCAACAACCACAACGAAAGCGTTGCATAATGAGCTGAAGACGGCTGCGTGATATACAAAGCGGTTGAATTCATCGTTCAAATGGCTTCTGTTGACATTATTATTGCTAATTCTTGCTTCGCATGATCAGATATTCTCATTCGATAGTACTCTTTCTTCGAAAGTGAAGTTTCCTCGATAAATAAGCTATCCACAAGGTACAAAACATCCGGTATGAACGTTTTCACTTTATCGGCCTTTTAAGATTAAGGCTAAGTCTTAGCTTTGGATTTAAAAAAACTCCTGGTCTCAGTATGCCAGTGGCTGAGGTGTTTTCCCACCGAAGTGAGAGAACGAAAATATAGCCAACAGCTGGTGCTATGAACGGAACGGGAACCACTAGCAGTTCATCTACATGGGAGTCGCTAGAAACCCTGATTCCAAACCAACCAATTAGGGGCGTACGAACCACAACCACTTACACCTTCGTAGTTGAGGTAATGGTCAGCGGCTCAATTGGGCATCGAGGTTTATTAGGCAACTTGGACTTTCTATCCCGTCCGAAAGGTGCATGAGCTGATGAACTGGATTACGGTTTTCACAAACCCCTCCGCTGCCTTACGGGTCAGGCTTTGGCTAGTCAAATGTTCCGGTTGTGAATTGCCCAAGAAAATTTACGTGCTTTAATCGGGGCAACCTGTTAGTACCCGGGCACGAGCAAGTAATAAACTTTTCTTCAATTTAAAGATTATTATCCTGGGAATTTTTGGTGCATGTATGATATATATGCTGATAATAACATAATACCTTGCTTCGTGCCTCTATTTTCACACCGATGTTGATTTGAACATTCCGACCTTTCCTGTAATCCCTATTTAATTGAGCAGCTAAGAGACAACCACCAACACCGTCCCCGCAAAAGTGCCCCGTTAACGATTGTAAAAACGAAATTGAACTGAACTCGTATCACAGTAATTAGCATATCCTTGATCCTGTGGATGATACAATCGCTCCATGCGGGCTTTAAGCGCACACGTCCCACAATTTATTAATCTCATCCAGCTGTTTAACCGCCTCGTGAAAAGTTCTTTTATTTCAAGCAGTTTCATTTGTAGAATTTTTTATGTGCTGCTCATTACTTATACGCATGTAAGTATCACACACTGTGCGTTTTTCATTTACAAGTGAAATGCCTTAAAATCAGTTTATATAACCATTCAACTTCCGTGACCCGGTTGTCGATAAATGACTCATCCTGAAGCACTCGAACAAAGGACACATGACGAATTAACAAAAATCGCATTCGCAGTGGTCGTTAATTATATTTCAAAGATTCTAAATACTTTTCTTTTTCCCTTCATGAAGTACTGTCTGTATCGAGTAACACATAATGTTTATTATATTGGCATGAGTTTGCCGCTTTGTGTTCTCATCATGTGTTCTGTGAGACTGTTTTGAGACAGTTTCAATGCTTCTCAAGATTGTTTCAGTGCTCTATCACTCTTCCACGTCCCCCTAATGTGATCGATATGTAAAACTAATCTGTTGTGATTCGTTTTTTGGATATATTTATTGTAGTTCAGCATGTGCTAGTGTGGCGCGAATCGATCGTGTTGCTGCGTCGCTCATCGGAACCACCATTCGGTTAATGTGGGCGGTGATCAGGATGTGCTAGTATGGTGTGTGTATCGATTATAGATTTAGAAAACTTTCTCTCTCTCAAGACTAGGTGGGAATCGGGTGCTTACCGATGTGGTATAGGAGCGATGCTGGTGTGCATCTCGTTATTCGGTCTCTCGTCGACTCCCCTTGGTTATCAGTTTTTTTCGGTTCGTCCGTTTTTGTCTAATCTGTCAAATGATGATATCAACTCAATTCGCATATTCTCACTTCATTTTGTCCAGAGACCGACATGCGGATGGTATCTGGCTGGAAACAGAAACCTACGATGCGTTGATCAAAACAATTGAGCAAGATTGTCGGGTAAGGAAGGTTCGATTTACCATTTATTCATTCTTAATCTACGGTATACGCACACGACTACTGTGTAGTAGAGCACACTCACACGCTCAGATAGATATTCAGTGACTGATCGCATGTTAAATCAGTCCCAAGTCGCTTTATCGCTTGTTTCGAGGAGAAGAACACGATTCAGGAACGGCTGATATTGCGAACGGGGTAGAGAATGTCTGATGCTGCAGCTCTTCGGGATGTTGAAACCAATCCGAAATGTCAGCTTAACAGGGATCACTGTAGGGCCTAGTTAATTTGGTTTATAGGTATCAGATCACGAGTTGATGCTAATGTGGTCAGAGTATCCCCAATGGTCTGGGTCTTTTGGATCGCGTCGGGTTTCGAATCCTGGTTCACGATGTGCACTTGTCATCCTGAACCCATACTGTGGAGTGTCATAATCCCAAGCTCTTGTTTTGTCGGCTTTTCCTCAACTAAAACACTAAGAATTGACGAATTTGACATCACTGTTTCCTATTTGAGATCTTGTCCTGAAATTATGCTTTATTAGACAACAAGAAGTTAGCCAAATGCGATAATATGGTGCAAACACACGCGAACACAACTAATGTCGTCAGATTTCACCTAAGCGATTATATATGGTTCAAATTTGTGCTGTTTATTCTACCACACGCTTCGTTCTGTCCTTCCGGGGTTAATCGGTTTTTTTTTCGGGGGAGGGGGATCCCAATGCGTAATTTGAAGATCACTTTGTTGAACCTTGTACTCATGAGAATCAGTCTTCTCTGTTTGTTGTGTAGAGATGTTCAGCTGCTTCATCTTGGCAATGACCACCGTATTTTGTCTCACGTCAGTTCACTATACAGTATAAACGGTTTTCTCCTTTTAGAGTATAAAGCTTGGATTAGCCTATTCGATTGTTCAGAGCCAGTAGGCACTCTTGATGGTTTTATCCTTTGCTTCACATAACTTCCTCTCGATGGATTATTTGAATAAAACGATTGGGGCGGATATTGTGATTTTAGCGGCAGCTGAATGCAGAGTAGGCCGGCTGTCTTGCAGTGGGAACCATCTTGGAGGGCTGGGTTCATATTCCTTGAAAGATGGAGTAACGCCCGTCGGCTGTGTGTGCTCTGACCGTGATCTATTCCTCGGTAGTACGCATTGCTTGTCTGATGGGTGAGCAATCGCTAGGTTGAATCGTCATATGTTGGGTGCAGATATTCATTTTCTAAAAGAAGAAATTGCTTTGACCGACGATTGTCTGCCGCACGTGAACCGTGCACGCGTGTGAACCAGACTGGCTTTAGACCCGGTCGAGGCTGTATCGATCACATCTTCACTCTCCGCCAATGTCTGGAGCATCGACATTCCTTTCATAGACCTACCATCTCTGTTATTCTCGATTTGAAAGCGGCCTTCGACTCAGTCGACCGCACAAACTCTGACGCTGTCTTTCCCTGAAGGGTGTGCCCGAGAAGTTTATTTCAATATTATGATCGCTTTATGCTAATAGCCGAAGTCGTGTCCGGATTACGGCACTTTTTCGCCCAAGTTCGCCACAGAAAGTGGTGTTCGTCAGGGTTGCTCTCTCTCTCTCCTTTTCTATTTAACTTTGTTATGGATTTGATTATGGAAACAGCCCCATCCTCGTGCGAGGAAAGTGGCATCGATTTACTCCCAGGTGGCAGACTGTCTGATCTAGAGTATGCAGACCGCTTTGTGCTATCAAGTGAAGATGCAGATAAGTTGCAAGCTTTTTTGGACAGCTGGAATGCCAGTGTAGCCATTTTTGGTATGCGTTGCGCATCTTCAGAGTGCAAAATGTTACTACAAGACTGGTTCGGTCCAGCACCGAGCCTCACTCTAACTGCAGAAGTAGTAGAGCAAGTGGATAAGTTTTGTTATTTGGGCAGTTACACCTTACCCGATGGACGCATTAAAGATGAAGTGTTAGCTCGCATACAGAAGGCTCGGTTGGCATTTGCCAACTTGAGACATCTGTGGCGCCGTCGCGACATCCGGCTGTCTATGAAGGGTCGAGTTTATGCCGTGGCAGTTCGGCCAAATCCGCTATAATGCGGCCATTAAGAAAACAGGATAAAGATAGACTGTCGGTGTTTGAACATCGCTGTTTACGCAGCATTGCACGAATCTGGTGGGGTAGGCGAATGAGCAATGCTGAGGTTAGACGCAGAATTTCGGGTATCCGCCGTCGCCCACTGGAGCAAGTGGTCGACCTCCATAGATTACGTTGTTTTGGGCATGTGTTACCAGATAGGTTGCGACGGCGAGCGATGATCACCGAGGCGGGTAGTGGGTGCAAGATAGTCAAGGGTGGCCTATGCTAAGACGTGGCATGTGGGTATGAATACCCTGATCAGGAGCCTGGGTCACTAGGTCCCGTGAGGCTCCCTGGCTGGGGACCTCGAGAAGATCGTACCCGATGGTTAGAGACACTGAGTGATATGGCTGGGTGTCGTAAACAATGGCATTCTTGCATCTTTTCAATTGCTTTGCAAACTTAGACCACTGAACTTCTTCATTTTATCTTCGACTCTACCTTCAACTTTCCTGTCTAAAAGACAGTAACCCAAACTGGCACACGAAAGTGCACGGTTAATGGTTGTTCAAACTGAACTGAACTGACCGCCGCTGACGTATTGATGATGTTTCGCGTATTCCTGTCCGTCTGCCTTTCCGTGCTCTTTATGCACGTGCTGGGCAAGGTTGGAGGAAGCGTCGCGGCGGACAGACCATAACCTGGCAATTGACGAGATTAGAAAAATATTAGCATCTTGCAGTATTTGTCTTATCTGTTCTGACGAATTGGATGAAGGGTACCCAACGTTTCGTTGGCGTATCGTGCTACCATCTTAAGTTCTACGGAAGCTTTTTAGTTTCTTATTTCTTACTTTCATCCAAACATTTTGCTTCTGATGCTCGCATTGTCGGGTGTTTTATCGTCCAAAGTAGCTGGTTACCTGTTCTAGTTGTTCACGGAAACCATCCTTCTTGTCTTCAACAAAGCAGTTCTGTTTACTGTAAAATAGGTTTTTCATTTTTAAGCTAATACCTTTGATGCTGTACCCCTCGTACTACATTTGATAGGTCTTGGAATCTTTGCAAATCATGGACTACTCCTTGCTGCTAGGTATCCACAATTTGGACCAAGCCAAACGAGATCGGGTAAGTCTTTCATAGCAGCTGCCCTCACTTGTCGTTCTTACCCCCACCCCTAATCCTATTTTTTGGATTCCAATGCTTTTTAAATGATCAGTTTATTCTATCTGGAAAAAACAACTCTACCGCGCCACGTTAACCGGTTGTGACAATCATCTGGTTATCCATGGGTGTGCTTCTAATAGTTTGTGCCAAGGTCAACATCGAGTCATCTTCGGCCTGTCTGTTTGTCTTCCGGTACGATTGTTTGTTTGATGGCCAACCTGTTGAAAACAGCGTTCAAATTTTTTGGAGTGTACTGCAAGAAATTTTCACTCCTGCATCGTTTGTTCAAGTTTGAAATCTCTTTCTGTCAGACTGTTCTCTCCTGGACAGATTCCTCAAACAATTTAAATGGTTACATCCAAAACAAATAAAATTTCCCAATTTCACTTGAGCACTTAGTATTTGTTCGATAATTTTCCCTTGTATTTTCGAGCCAGTTTTTCAAACCGGTCATGATCGTTTCTCAGTTCATCCTTTTTTACACTCTACCATGAGCAGCATAATTTGCGGAATTACGCAATTAGTATGCGCATTCAGATGTCCCCCTATTCGATTAATCTCGGTTGCTTCAGACTGTGCTGTGTGCCGGTCGGAACAGTGGCTTTAAAAGTGCGCTAGTGGAATATTTGATCAGGCCATTGTTCGAGCTGACGTCAATCAATCACTCAGATACATTGGAGCGCATAACTTTCTGACCGTTCTATAAGAAGAGCATAGATAATCGGTTGTTACCGCCTGCTCCTCAAGTTCACTAAAGAAAGCATCGATTATTCTCAATGGAATAGTTCCGAGTGAGATCAGCTCTATAATGCGGGGCTTATCATTCACTCGAATTTTCTCTTATGTCCGTAGTTATGTTTCTTTGCAAACTGGATGTGTATGTTCTGCGGTCCGGCAACACGATGAGCAGGTCCAATACACCGATTAGAGTTACAACCGAATAGTGGTAGTAGTAGTAGAATATATATGTTTGTTTTCGATCATTCGACTATCCAGACTACACGTGTCCGGACTTTGAGTTGTAAGACATAAGCAGCCAGTTTCTCATTCTGGTAACTCATAGTGTTCGCTCAGTTTACCTTTTATGCTCCTTTTTAGTATCAAAGACCTCATGTTTATATTCCAAATTAAATCATTAGTGTATCTGCCCTCTTTCGTGCTATATTCTCAGTAGAAATTGGAACATTCTTTCTCTCTCCCTCACCATCGGTCAGGTTTTTTTGTTCTTCACAAACTTCGTTGTTTCCCCAAAAACGGCGCTGCACTTTACCTTCTCTCTTTGCTCTGTACATAGCAAATTTCACAATATGTTTCATTACACACAAAGTGGTTGACAGGAAAAGGGATAAACCCTATAATTACTGACATACTGTGAGGGATAAGGTATGCGGGGGCACGTTCAAGAGAAAATCATTTTGGTAATCCTGTTTTTGAAAAGAGTAAAATTATGAGTGCTTGGAAATATAGAGATGAGAAGAGTGTTCCACAATTTCACAGTCCTGGGGAAAAATAAAACTGGAAGATAGAAGTTTAACATCTGGGGACAGAAACTTGATAAAGGTGATTGCCCGCTCGAGAACGAAGTGATCGGGAAACGGACAAGAGGGGGACCGCTGAAGCAAATTCAGAGAGAAAGTGATGAGAGAACCTTAGGAAGCATCGAAACACACATGGCTGGTAGAACCCCCTTACGTTAATGAGTCCGAAATCGGAGACAAGGGAAGCATTAAAGACATTGCGATCGTAATCGATATTGGTATTGACCTGATATGTTTTGGAGTAAGAAAGAAGTAAATGGAGAGTGGCATCATCGGCAAGGTAGTAAATAGGATAAGAGGTTTTGCACAAAAGATCGTTGGTAAATAGCAGAAAGAGAGTGGAACCTTGTGGAACACCGCCATTCATAGGGAATGGCCGAGACAGGACCCCATCCACTCGGACGGAAATTGCTCTATTGCTGAGTAAAAACTGGAGCCATGATGCGATAGACGGGTGGAATCGGAACATGGATAATTTGGACAGCAGACCTTCGTGCCAAACGCGGTCAAATGACTTTGAAATGCAAAGAGAGAGGGACCGTGTGCGTTTCTACGTGATGATCGAGTGCAATTGATCGAGAATGCGATGTGAGAGCCAATAGATCATCTGTAGATCTGCGAGGATGATATCCATGTTAACGGTCATTCAACAAACCTTCGCGTTCAGAAACGTACGCAGCTGGTTGGAGATAATGGTTTCAAACGCTTCCGAAATTACAGAAGTTAGAGCGATCGGACGATAGTTATTGGGGTCAGAAGGGTCACCGCGTTGTGGAATAAGAAAATTAAGGGCATTTTTCCTTGGAGTGGGGAAAGATTTGAGATCGAGTGAGGAACAGAAATGACGACGTGGAACAGGGACTCACATTTTTAGGGCGATCGGTGGGATATCGTCCGGATCGGGCGGTTTACAAACATCCAAACCATATCGAGTCTGGCGGACGTGTCTGGTTGTTGTCATAGGTAGAAAGAAGGGGCTGTATATATAGGAAGGGAGTTGAATGTAAACTGGTAAGCGAAGGCTTCTGCTTTTTCGTGGGGTTCCCAAACAAGAGTAATAAAAAACTGCAAATCGGAGGATAGTTGGAAGAGCAAAAATTACCTAAAACCGCTTCAGCGACAGACCAGGATGTTCGCTTACCAGTTGCGGACGAAGCCAAGGACGTAGCTTTGTGGCGTTCCTTAGCTCTTTGTTTGATGAGCGAGCATTTGTTTCTTGCTTCCGCGAAACGGTTGGGGGATTTCGGGTTAAGTGAGTGGCGCTGATTTTTTAAAACGTATAGCATGATTACAAGTATGATCAAACCACTCAGGGGATCGTGGTGTGGCCGAGTTCAGAAAAGTGTGGAGTGCATACCTTGAAGAGCAATCTCTGTAAAGTTTAAATCAAAAGTGGAAACATTAGATTTGCACCAACAATCCTTCCAGGGCTAACAAGCTGGAAAGTCACGAAAACCGTCCAAGTTCGCTGAATCGTAACAACAAAGGGTGCATCTGGAAGGTGGTGAAATGGAGTGAGAGAATTAAGTGAAAAAGGAAATGAAGTGATGAATTGATGAACCTAATGGAGCAGGAGAAGTGATGGAGAAATAAGAGGGAATGGGTGTGAAAATGAGGTCAAGAGTGTGGGTGCGGGCACTAATGCGATCATGGAGGTGAACTAGTTGATACAGGTTGTTTACGACAGCCAAAGCCTCTTCTCTTGCCGTGAGCGAAGTGTCTGAGGAGTGCCTCAGTCATTCCTTGTTGTGAACATTGAAATCTCCGGTAATGGTTATTTGGCGGTTAGGACCTACCGCCATTAGTGTCTCAATGTTGGAAGATAGAATATCAAAGTTAGAAGGATCTCTGCTGCTCGGGGAGCGGTAAACGGTACAAAAATAGTGGTTAGAAGAAAGGACCCGAAGATTTAGGTTTCCCGTTCTTCCGAAGTTCGAATCTGGCAACCTCACTTTTTCCTATGCGGTTTAATTATGCCTTCGTTAGAACAGTGTCACTATCGCTGCTGTTCCGATTCAAGGAAATGTATACAATAAATAATGCTTACTGATGCAATAACGTTTCTTGTAGTGTAAACCGAATTATTTTTATTGTGTGGGTAAACACAAAAAAGGATACATCATATACGAAAAAATGGCACTTTCTCGAGCCAGCTTTTCAGTTCTTTATGTGGAGATGGCGTCGCTGTAGCTTGAAGGGAACGCATAAAGAATGGAAAGGTCAAACTGGTTTTCGGCTTTGGGGTTAAAGAGTTCGTAAATTGCAAGTTCAGTCCTTTTTGATAATCTTTTGGTACGTGTAACTCAAAGCTCGTCTACGATCTTACGACGCGAAAAAAACAAGTGAGGTTTATATAAGAAGAAAGTTCAATTTAGGCAGCTTAAATTCCAGTTCGTTCATCGGATAGTTTTTCCGCTCTCATCTTCTCGATCACGGCTGCCACTTGTGACCTTGTTTTCGATTCACCGGGAAAAGCTGACAGTTCCTATTCCGGGCTTGCTTTCTACTCTCCCCTCCATCGTTACCCGGGTCTACCAGTTATTCTCCGTAAGGCAACCTCAAATTCTGACGTTAGAATCGATACGGACGAATGCTTCGGTTTGTGTGCGATTTCCTCCATCGCTCTTAGGATGTGCACTTTAATGCTTGCGGTATCAGATGGCTGTCTTTGTACCCTTTCATTTCGTGGTCTTTTCTGCCTGTCTGAAAAAAGACCAGATATTTCTGCCCCTTGAAGGGATGACCTTTCAGAGTGCAACAGCGATAATTCGATGTCGTTGTGGTTTAATTCAGTCTCTAATGCTCAACTGAATTACAGCATCATATGGAATGGTTAATTCGTTGATCGTCGACATAGTTTTTAGCCTTAAAGTTTCATTGATTATCCATAATTCTATGTCTTTTTGTCAGGAAGATTTCTTTAACAAAAATTGTCACTGCTTAGACCAAACTATATTTTGCCCGAGATAATGTTTGCATTGCCAAGATCAAAGCTATTTACCCTTCGTTAAGTTCTGTCGGACAAGGTTTCCTCAAACAATGTAATGTAATGGACGCTGCACCACACGTTGTCTTACATCTCATTTGTCTCAGGAAAACTTTTCTTTCGTGACTTGAAGCCTTCGGCCATCAGTATAAAGGGATCGTAATATTGAAATAAACTTCTCGGGCACACCCTTCAGGGAAAGATAGCGCCAAAGTTTAGAACGGTCGACTGCATTGAAAGCCGCTTTCAGATCGAGAAAAACAGAGATGGTGGCTCTATGCAAAGAATGTCGGTGTTCCAGAATTTGGCGGAGAGTGAAGATGTGGTCGATACAGCCTCGACCGGGTCTAAAGCCAGTCTGGTTCACACGCGTGCTTGGTTCACGTGCGGCCGACAATCTATGAAGTATGATCACAGGGAGAAGTTTAGAGGCATTG